TGGATACTATTTTTCTGAAGGAACAAATCAACGAAAACCTAGCGTTTCAGATTATTTAGGACTTGCTGCAGAAAAGCCTAACGAAACTAGTACTTTGCAGAATATATGGGAACTTATACCTCAAAATTAGATGTATCATTTACTGTGTATAAAATTATGAGGATTACGAAGCTACAGTGATACTTTAAAGGAAAGTAAGAACAGCTGTGAAAGATTCATGTATAATTGTTTTAAATGTCTCTATATATTAATACAAATTAATTTTTTGAGCAGTATTGCACAAATATTAAATATTTTAGAAAAGAAAAATGTGATTACACTTTTGTAAAAAACGTTTCATGTTCGTAACACCATTTCAAATATACTTTAGCATTTTATTTACTGAAAAGTCAACAGCTACAAAGAATTAATAAAAAAATAGATAATTAGAATTAAAGTATCGATACTCTACAATTATAGCATTGAATAAGTCTTCAGATATTTAGTTGCAATTTTATGCCATTTTTCAAAGTTTTTCAAAAATTTAACTCGGTCTACAATTCAGAGGTTGCATGATTGGCTGATGTTGTTGTTCATTATCATCATCACTATGTTCAGCTTGTTGAACAGGAAATCTATATCCCATATTCATGAGCATTACCTCAAACGGATCAGTGTTCATCCGTATTTGATTTGCAGCTGCAGCATCTTCTAAATTCTGAATTTTTCTGTCGTTGACGCTACCATCCTACATTAAGTATAGAATGTTGCATACATTATACATTACATTATTTTATTTACAATTTTCTTTCAATAATCATGACAAATACCTCGGGCAATGGGCTCCATAATCTGATTACTGGGTCAATACCACTAGTAGCTAATAAACATGTAGATGGATGAGGTTGAAGACAGTTTACAATTCGTTCATCTCCTCTTAGTACGCGAATAATATTCGTAGTACTACGATCCCAAATAAAAAAAGAACCATCATCTGATCCTGCCACAATATATTGACCATTGCTTTAAGGAAAAATGTATATTTATCAATGTATTGTAAATATTGAACATGATGGTTTAATTACTGTTCAACACAATTCTTTTTTTGTAATATCCAATGGGCGTCACTTCTCAAACACGAATCCGAAAACAAAATTGCTGTATGAGCCACGATTTTCGGAAATTCTAATTTTTGTAAAGACGTTCAATTTTTAACAAAAATAAGAAATTACGTGAAAACTGAAAACGTTAAGAAGGTTTAATTGCTCTCGAAAGATAGAGGCGAGACTCCCGAATATGTTAGTATTGATATTTATAATATTTTATGCTTTTAAGAACTATTAAACGACCATCAAAAAACGTGTAGCTAACGACGGTGGTTTGATGACAAAGCGACTAACACGCGTTGTCGACGGATATTTCCTTGATCTGTACAAACGTAAAATCACTTCGAACTTTTCCTTGACGAACAACCTTCTTAATGTTTTTAGTTTTCACGTAATATTTTATTTTTGTTAAAAATTGGATGTCTTTACAAAAATTAGAATTTTCCGAAAACTACTGTTCATATAGCAATTTCGCTTTCAGATTCGTGTTTGAGAAGTGACGCTCTACAAGGATCGCCTAATGGATATTAAAAAATCTAAAAAAATTAAAAATTTGTTGGATAGTGTTAGCAGCAAAATATTTTCTTACTTTCCAAAGAAGTTAGCCTCTTTTATATCAGTTGTAGTGTTGCAGTGTCCACAAAATCTCATTTTATAATCAATCGTATTATGTCGCCATTCTTTTTCATATTCTGATATATGGAACATTGGCTGACTCATGCTATTATCTCTACCTGATTCCATAATAATAACAAAAGACAAATGTTTTAATTTAGAGTATATGGTATAAAGTAGTGATGTAAAATATTAATTTAAAATATACCAGAATCTATAGCTTCTTTTATATCCATTTTTAATGCTTTACATGCTGAATTGGATGTATATTCAGGAAATTTTTGTTGAAATTCTTTAAGTACTTTATCAGCTTCTGTTGCCCGATCTAAGTCAAATAAGCAACGCGCCAGTCTAAAAACACACATCTAATACTCTATACTTTACTCAGTAAATGAAATATTATAATATTAAAATATTATTGGTACCTAAAACGTGCTTTGACATGTCCTGGATCAAGGAGTAACGTTGTTTGACAGTCTTTAAGAGCCGCATATATGTCACCATCCCTACAAATCATATAAAATTCCATTACAGCTTTTGCTACTTATCCATGATATATTTAACGTTACCCTTTTTGATTATCGGATATGAAACGCAATAATTAAAAGATCGTACCAAGTTCGTTTCATATATGCTGCAGCTCTGTTAGCATAAAGCACAGCAGCTGTAGGACAGTAACTAATTGCCTTATCATACAAAGTAATTGCCAACACATAGTTCTGTTGCTCAAAACACTTATTAGCCTAATCAGAAAATCATTAATTCAGATTCTTTTCGTATTTAATTTAACAAATGTAAATAGTTAACTTACTTCGTATTTTAATTTTTCAACATGAGGTGGCAGAACTTTCACATTTTTCTTAGCATACTCTATACTATCCTCACTATTTTTGTCCGTGTAGCAAGATTTCCCGAAGTCCCCTACAATTATATTTTTCAATAATTATTCTCCATTTACCATATCAAGTAATGTCAATATTAATGTTAATAGTTACCTGTGTAAGTATATGTAGTATAACCAAAGCATGTCTTTACGTTCTTTGGATTGTTGATGTCAAATAAATAAATTTGTTCCCCACCCATGTTAACAAGAAGTTCATTTCCATCAGCACTGAAGGTTAAGTATGTAGTAGTAAGACTCCTATTATTGTCACGCTGTCGAGACTGCAGATGGCCTGCTCAATATCAAACATTAACAGTCTCTGTTAAAGCAATCATGCTATATGTAATAAAAGAGGAAGATAAGGGTTAAGGAGTTGCGTATGCTATCTCTGATCGTAGGAACGAACCCGCGATAAAATACTGAGCGCAACCCAATGGAATATTCTCATCTTGATCACCTTCACCAGCACGACGTAAACTTGCGTGTCCTCTAGGGATAATAGGCACCTATGTAAATAGTAAACAATGAACATTTATTATATACCATAGAAATAAACAAGTTTGGGATCATCTTTAATTATGCTGATAATTACCTGAGAAAGCTTAATCATCCTGCGATCATACATTCGTATGTAGGCATCACTAGCTCCAACAGCTATTAACTCTGGTCGTTTTGGATTCACAGTGACACATTTAGCTTCCGCATTTCGACCCATGTGATTATAAAGGTTAATTAATACAGTATTAGATACACTACTTTTGCAAGTGTGAGGAGCACGAATATCATATTGTAAAATAAGACCATCTTCTGCAGCACTCCAAAACAGGAAAGGAACAGTAGATGCGGTAGCAATACGTTTGACACGGCCCATATGACAATTGCATATAAGTATAGGTTCAGTAAGTGTTAGGTCACGAACTCGCACCTTGCTATCTCCAGCACCCGATACCAATATGCTGTCATTTGATTTTGGCATGAACTAAAATATGTGTATAATTGAAAACTTAAACATTATTAATGTTCTAAAGAAATTAAATTTTAAACATTGTCACATTACCTTAACAGAAAATATGTTTCCATAATGACCTGTATGTAGTACTAACTTTTTTTCATATCGAAATGGATCCCATAAGATGATATTCATGTCATCAGATGCTGAGGCGAGAATTCTAAAAGCAACAATTATTAGTTATATTCCTGTTATATAAAATAATTTAGTCATGTCTGCTTTCTTTTTTATTTATTTCATATATCACAATATTTCCTTATTTCATTTATTTAAAATACTTACTGTCCACTTTCGTTCCATTCTAAACAATTGACACATCCTGTATGCCCAACTAACTCTTTCTCTAATCCTAATCGAGAAATTAAGTTTTCTGTAACATGTAATTTCTGAGCGACTGTATAAGCTGCAGAATCCTAAAAACGAATCAAAAGAATTGAAATGAAATTTAAATACATCAATATTTATCTAGTACAGGGGATCATACCTGTATTTCACGTTGCCGTACCAAATCCAGAACTCTGTAATCTTTATCATATACATTAAGCATTTCTATACTTATTTTATATAACGTCTTACTATATTGAAAAACTTAAATATTTTCTGAAAATTACAAAATGACAGTTATTTCTATAAAATTTGTAAAAAAAATTAGTAAACGAACAAAAGTATAGATATAATTATCGCATATAAAATAATTCATAAAGTAAGAAACGTTAGTACGAAGGTATAGTAAACCTCGTAACATTGAAATTATAGAACATGTTATAACAATAATTGACGTAATCGGATATAATGTCAAAAGTTATTAAAATGTACACACTTGTACAATGTTCTTGTACATTACGGTGCGAAATTATCAACTTTTATACTTTATCAATTTAGAAAATATCTCGATTGACCTTATAATATAATAATAAACAATAATAGACATCTATTTCAACTGACATGTAACACAAATTTGTTACAATTGGTTTCATTTTCGAATGAAACTTATTATCAGAATAACCTTTTTTGAATTTAATATCTACTTTTATATCTACTTACATCATTTTACAGAATTTATAACTATTAATTAACATTCGATAACGTTGGAAACTTTTTTTTTATTAAAATTTATTCTAAGATGAACTTACGTTTAATATTTCATACAGTC